TTAATTTAGGATGGATGAAGGCAGGCAGCCACTTTCGAGGAAACTACCAATCTCTTCTAGCAAGATAAATCCATACAGAATGATAATCCTACTCCGGCTTGCGATCCTGGGGTTATTTTTTCACTATAGAATTCTGCATCCTGTGAATGATGCGTATGTGCTGTGGCTCATTTCAGTCATCTGTGAAATATGGTTTGCTGTATCATGGATATTGGATCAGTTCCCAAAATGGTACCCAATTGAACGAGAAACATACCTTGATCGTTTATCATTGAGGTGATTTAATCTTCCTTTTCCCTCCTTCTCTCTCGCTGTTGTGACATTAAACTTGTGTGCATGCCAGAGAAAGAATTTAGTTTTAGTTATTATTTTTATATCTATCTTTTTTTTTTCCTTTTCTTTAGGTACGAGAAAGAAGGGAAGCCATCTGAACTAGCTTCTGTAGACATATTTGTGAGTACAGTTGATCCCATGAAAGAGCCACCACTTATCACTGCAAACACGGTTCTGTCAATCCTTTCTGTAGATTATCCAGTTGATAAAGTAGCCTGCTATGTCTCTGATGATGGTGCTGCCATGCTCACATTTGAGGCTCTGTCTGAGACATCTGAATTTGCAAGAAAGTGGGTACCATTTTGTAAGAAGTTCAACATTGAGCCCCGGGCTCCAGAATGGTATTTTGCTCAGAAAGTTGACTATCTGAGAGATAAAGTAGATCCAACATTCATCAGGGAACGCCGAGCCATGAAGGTTTGTAACTTTCTCCTAATTTTAACATGTTTGCTGCTGGCAAGTGTCTGCCATTCGACTAGCCTACCCTACATGCTACATGAAGGAATCAATAGGAGACTGAGAGATTGCATTACTTAAGCATGAAATTTATCTGGCAGAGAGGTTGTCTATTTGCATTTGGGAAAAGAAAACATTACTTCGTATAATTACTATGTCATTTTTATCATGTATGGCCTTTTTTGTACACAAAAACTGTTTTCCATTGGTTTCAAGAAATGGTGTTTTATATGAAGTGTTGCTAATTTGTCGATACAGAGGGAATATGAAGAGTTCAAAGTTCGAATAAATGGATTGGTTGCCATGGCACAAAAGGTTCCAGAGGAGGGTTGGACAATGCAGGATGGGACTCCATGGCCAGGAAACAATGTCAGGGATCATCCTGGAATGATCCAGGTGAGGTGTTTAATTTTTTATGCTGTTTGAGATTTGGTTCAGGCAATATCCATCTCCCAACTATTTCCAGTATGCATTAACATAGTAAAAATTGCATATTCTTTTGCTATAGGTTTTCCTTGGTCATGATGGTGTTCGTGATATTGAAGGGAATGAATTACCTCGTCTAATTTATGTTTCTCGTGAAAAGAGACCAGGATTTGATCACCACAAAAAAGCTGGGGCCATGAATGCTTTGGTATATCTCTCTCTTCCTCTCTATCTCAAGCATGCACACACAACACTCATTCTTAGCCTGGCATGTCCTCTGAACAGTCTGTTGTCCAATTTATCTAATTGTTAATAATTTTTTTGCTGATTAATGAAGGTGCGCGTTTCTGCTATCATCTCCAATGCTCCTTTCCTACTGAATGTTGATTGTGATCACTATATAAACAACAGCAAGGCTCTTCGTGAAGCTATGTGCTTCATGATGGACCCTATTTCAGGAAAGAAAATCTGCTATGTCCAATTTCCTCAAAGATTCGATGGCATTGATCGACATGATAGATACTCAAATCGCAATGTTGTATTTTTTGATGTACGTATAGATTTTGGCAAACTTTAATGTTGCAGCAGACACATGTTTCTTCCTAAAAAAAAAAAAAAGATAATATCTTTTTACTTTTCTTAAAACAGATCAACATGAAAGGACTGGATGGGATTCAAGGACCTATTTATGTTGGAACTGGATGTGTCTTCAGGAGGCAGGCACTCTATGGATATGATGCCCCTGTCAAGAAAAAGCCTCCAACAAGGACATGCAATTGTTTGCCAAAATGGTGCTGCTGCTGCTGCTGTTGTCCATCTAAAAAGAAGAATAGGAAAGCAAAGTCCAATGATAAGAAGAAAAATAACAAGGAGGTTTCCAAGCAAATACATGCTCTAGAGAATATTGAGGAGGGAATTGAAGGTAAGGATTGTTTTCAAATCTACCAATTGTCTTACAGAATTTTGTCACCATCTAAATTCGGTCTCGACATTTCCTGATTTATCATTGACCTAGAATTAATCCCTTATTTTATCGTTTTGGATATGTGCTTTCATGCTTAAAGTAGGTTATTTTAGACTCTTATCACTTATTGTGCCATCATTTGAAATTGCAGGTATAGACAATGAAAAGTCATCCCTTATGCCACAAATCAAATTTGAGAAGAAATTTGGCCAATCACCAGTTTTTATTGCTTCAACGCTTATGGAGGATGGAGGAGTTCCAAAGGGAGCAACTACTGCATCCCTCTTGAAAGAAGCCATCCATGTTATCAGCTGTGGCTATGAAGATAAGTCAGATTGGGGGAAAGAAGTATGTAGAAACTGTTCCAAACTTAATAAATTAATTTGTGCCTTTCGAAGTTTTTTCTTTTCTTTGAATTATTTCTATAGTGATGCTCATCTATTCCATCTCCATCCAGGTTGGGTGGATATATGGCTCTGTTACTGAGGATATATTAACAGGCTTCAAGATGCACTGCCATGGCTGGCGATCAGTGTACTGCATTCCAAAAAGGCCTGCATTTAAGGGTTCAGCTCCTATCAACCTCTCAGATCGTCTGCACCAGGTTCTACGATGGGCTCTGGGATCCGTTGAAATTTTCTTGAGCAGGCATTGCCCACTATGGTATGGGTATGGCTGTGGGTTAAAACCCTTGGAGCGCTTTTCTTACATAGCCTCAGTTGTGTATCCTTTGACATCAATTCCACTGCTCATTTATTGTACGCTGCCAGCTGTCTGTCTCCTTACGGGAAAGTTTATTGTCCCTGAGGTAATTCTGAGTGGCATATCTAACAACATGCATACTTCCTAATTATTTTGGGATCAACTAGTCTAACTATTCTACCATAAACAATCAGCTAGGTCTAGTAATTTTAGAATTGTTTGTAGGAGATAGCATGATGCTCATTGTTAACATGCTTTTACTACATCAAGGGAAAGCTTATATTATGTGGACTTTATTTTCTTTACCATTTCTATTGAAAGCAATAAATTTTGTAGTCATTGTTATGAGATTTGTATTCGCATTTTAATTCTAAGAACAGGTTTAAATTTATCTTAATGTTTCGAAAATTACTAAGAATTGGACTGAGCATCATTAGAACATGATTTTGTTGCTGTAATTGTAGTCATGAATCTTTTTCAGCTATGCATTTCATTTAGTTTGGAAGCATACCAGCGAGTCTTGACCTGCACAATTTTCATTAACAATGCCCCTTGTTGGGCTATAGCTATAATATTATTAAATTATTGCTAGATGTACCATGTGAATTTCAAAATCTGGATGTTGCACTTGATATGTCTTTGTGAGAGTTTCAGCTAATATAATTCTTCCTTATGCAGATTAGCAATTATGCCAGTATCCTTTTCATGTCTCTCTTCATAGTCATAGCTGTGACTAGTATCCTCGAAATGCAGTGGGGAGGTGTTGGAATACATGACTGGTGGAGAAACGAGCAGTTCTGGGTGATCGGTGGTGTCTCATCGCACCTATTTGCTCTCTTCCAGGGTCTGCTTAAGGTTTTAGCAGGTGTTAACACAAACTTCACTGTTACCTCAAAAGGAGGAGATGATGGGGAATTTTCTGAGCTGTACATATTCAAGTGGACATCTTTATTGGTTCCTCCCATGACACTGTTGATCATCAACATAATTGGAGTCATAGTTGGGATTTCAGATGCCATCTCTAATGGATATGACTCATGGGGGCCTCTCTTTGGTAGACTGTTCTTTGCATTCTGGGTCATTGTTCATCTTTACCCCTTCCTCAAGGGTTTGATGGGGAAACAAGACAGGCTTCCAACCATCATTGTGGTTTGGTCAATACTTTTAGCTTCAATTTTCTCTCTTTTGTGGGCTCGAGTCAACCCATTTATATCGAAAGGAGGTATTGTTTTAGAAGTGTGCGGGTTGAACTGTGACTAAAATACAGAAAAGAAGAACAAATAAAAAGAGAGGAAGAATTAGATGTTTCGTGTTTCATGAAGAAAGGCAGTCTGAAGTCTGAACATTGCATGTATCATCTGTGTTCTTGGTCCAAGACAACATGGTTGCCATCCTCTTATCAGCGAGTGAAAGGGAAGTCAACAGAGGAAAACATGTTGCATTGTGTTTGTAGATAACAATAGAACTGGGATCCAATATTTGTCCTGTTGAATTTTTCATTGATTCTTTCGATACATGTGGATTTTGTGGGTTGGAAGGTATTGAATTCATAAAGTCCTTGTAATCTCCATTGAAGAGATAAACTAAAGTTGGTTTTATCCATAATGTATATTCCCTTCTCAATAAGGGACTTCACATAAATGCCATGGATTGTCTGTCTGCTTGAAACTTTGATTGGAATTTGTAGTGGTTTAGGATTCTATCCATTGTCTTGCTAATCAGATATAGCTTCAATATTTGTAGCAAAACATCGGAATACCACCATGAAAGTTTAAGGCTTTAGTATTTCATTATGGTTTTCCTCAGCGGCAATTGGCATTTGGTGGTACTTTTTATTTGTTATAAAGCAAAATCTAAGCAATTTAAAAATAAAATCTTGAATGCTCCCTTACAATGCTAGATGTAATAATTTTTGATGTGATTAAAAAAAGATGGATAACGATTTATATGAGATTGTCAAAAATAAAAAAATATAGTTTATATTTGACTTATAGACATAAATAATGATTTGATTTATTTTATATTATTTAACATAAAACAAAAACGACAAAAGTCACTTAGTCTGTCAATAAAATACTAAATTTTTAATTTTAATAATTAACTGTTAAATTTTAACAATTTCAAATACCAAAATAAATTTTGAAAAAAACACAACATAAATATGCACAAATTACTAAATCTATCAATATGAAAATATATCACCAAAATGATTCAGGAAAATTAGATCCAAGCAAAGTATCAGAATCTGAGTATTAAAAAAAAATCATAATACAACAGATTTTATAAACTAAGAGTATCACTGGAAGTCACACGCCTAAACTTCACCAAATAATCAAAACACAACCAAAAAATGTGCACAAATATCAAGTTTTCACAATTTTACAAACAAATAATGCATGAGTTATGCTCATATCTAGTAGAAAATGGGGTTACTATGTCTATAAAGGAATCATTAAAAAAAAAGGTTTGAACTATATCTAATACTTCCAGACAGGCTCAAGAGGCCGCCTCTTGGATGATGTTTTATGCGTTGTCCTGTTGCCAATCCGCTTGGTGCTACCCTCGTTCTCCTTCGTATCACGTATTATCAGTCGCTTTGGTGTTCTTTGAATCACACTAGGCTTGCTCTTACATTTTATTACGGAAGAAGTCAATTGCTTCACAAACGCACTGTTGCTCCCCTTCTTTTTTGCGGTCACATTTTTCTTTTGAGATGATAGCAAATTTAGTTCGGACCTGAAGGCTTCTTCACCATCGACAACTGCCAAACAGTCAAACAAAAACTCGAGGAATTAGGTCATGCTTGTCAACGGTAAATCAGCAATATTTAAGACATGACACGAAAACTAAAAAAAAAAAGAAAATAGCAAGGTAATATGGGTTAAAATTTTAACAAAAATCATACATAAGTTTAACAACAACAAAAATATATATTTTATGTTTTCAACATGAATTATGACACAATTTTTACGTAAAACACATACTAATATACGAATTGACTGTTTACACGATAGGAATATACAATTGCCAGGTCCTCAATGCGAAGAATGAAAATATGTATGAAAAAATAGATGTTCTGTCTACCTCTACCAACTTCTGAATTCTTTAATAGGGGACATTTATCTGCCACTGCTGCAACCAGCCCTGACACATCTTTTCTCAACTCCATTGTTTCTTCAATATCTTCAGGATCATCCATTTTCACCGAGAAATTTATATCCTCAACATCTGCGCTGGCAATATAATCCTCCCCTTTGAGGCTACTTGAATTGCATTTCGTTATGGCCTTGTCTAAATCAGAATGATTACTGTCACTAGCATTTGCATCTAGTTTCTTAACATCATCTTCACCCTCCAAAAACAAACACATCGCCATGCTGGTTAAGATGTGTGATTCATCAGGATTCTCCAAGTCTTTATGTTCTGTCCCCAATATAACACCATCAGTGGATGCAAATTTTGGCTGTACTATTCTAAAAGAGTGATTTCTTTTACAAATCTGTACTTGCAATGAATGGACTGAGTACTTACCATCAGAAGCAGCACAAATTGAGGAAACATTGTCCAGTTCATTGCAGCTTCCAACTTCCCTGGAATCACCAACTATCTTAGCATGCAAATGCAAGCCATGTGGTTCCACGGTCTCTAGGTCACAACTCTTGCTTTCATCCAAACATAGAGGCTGGTTCACAACCAAACTGTTAGTGCTATCAATGAATGTGGCTGTTTTTACTGAACCTTCATAGCCATCAGACTTTGCTTCAGCAATTTCTTCAAGTTCTCCCTTGCTCCTTTCTACCAAGGAACCATCAGTTACACCACTAAAACCTCCACTAGCTATTTGGCACCCATCTCTTTCCTCCCTTGTAACTGTATCATGATCATGAAAAAGCAAATCAATGTAATTAGAGCCACCTCCTCTAAAGGGAAAAAGATTTCGAACCAGTGAGTAAAAAGCTAAGTCATAAAAGTTAAAAGGCTCAAACCAATTAACAACTATACCTTTGCAGTCAATAGAGATTTCAGCTCCACCCACATCATTGATGTCATCCATAACTTGTGGATGAAGTTCTTTTTCTGCTTTGCGACAGGAACAAGAGACATTAAAAAAATCATCTCATTTGATACAAATGCAACAAAAAAGTAGTATAAAAGCCATCTAATCTACGATTGATGCAATGCTAGTAAAGAGTTGCAACTGCATCAAGTTAAAATTTCGTTGGCATTTGAAGAAATTAAAAACTAGTTTTCTGGAATATTAAAGTTCGGCTTTACAGGTGAAGGTACTCACCACATGACACTGGAATACTCGAGCATAAAAGAGTAGAACAACCAATACTAATTTCAGGCTTGCAACAAGGTTTATCAGCATATGATGGGACATCTTCCTGTTCATCACCAAATAAAGATCTCTGATGAGAAACATGTGCTTTTCCACAGTTCTCAATCTCTGCTTCTTCAACAGTGAAGGCGGCATCAAATTCATCTGCTGCATTGCTATCATTTACATCAGGATCATCGACTTTTTTTCCACACTGAGGATCTTTGCTATTCAAAGTGCTCTCCACTGTGCCAACTTTTAAAACGTTGCCCATAATTATGCCAACAGTTGATTTAAGACCATCTAATCCAATGGAAGAACTACAATCACATTCAAGTGCAACCTTTTCACCTTGATCATCAAGATCACTACAGTTTGCCTGTAAAAATGACAGCCTAGTTCCCACAGATGCATTCGGCATTTCTTCTGAAAATTCAGTACTCACCACCTTGTGACCACTGTGGTCAGCAAGTACAACTTTCAAGAATGGTGTTGCGATTTCCTCCATAATATTATCATCCTGTCCAACATCTGCTTCTCTACTCGCACTAATTCCATTGCTATCCATGGTTGCAGCAAAGTCTTTATCAAAGGGATGATCCATAACTCTTTCACCACTAGAATTCCTCTCTCCACCCACCAGCACATGATCATGAGGCTTCATTGAAAAAGGTTCTGAAATAATAGGTGCAGTCAATTCCTCTGATGGCAAAGCTTGAGTGACATTACTAATAACCGTAGCATTGGCTTCTCCATTTTCAGCACCTTGCTTTGCAGCCTCACTCTCATTATCCAACAGCTCCAATGCTAGTTGAGGCAAAAAATACACTTGAATTTCATTCCTCATATTCTTATTATCCATGTAAACTGCCTCAGATTTTCCTTCCATGTCATTGCTGACAGGCAGACAGCCGTTGAAGGATAATTTCTCGTTACAAATACCTGAAACAGTTGGAAACAAGAAAAGTCATTTTGAAAAAAATAATCAGAGAAATAGCATGCTGTAATACAATATATCTCATTTTAGTTTAGATATTTTGATACTTAACTACCTTGAGTGGATTTTTCATCTTTTCTCATAGCATCATTTTTGTCAACTGGTGCAGTAAATGATAAATTCAAAATCCCTTTAGCAAATAAAATAAATAAAATTATTTTGTTATTTGCCAAAGAACATCCCAGCATCCAAAAATGCTACAATGTTTCTTCCTTTATTTGTATTTATGTCATCATAAAACTGAATCGATAGCAAACAAAAGCTCTTGTCAAAAAACTAGGACCAGCAAGAAAGAGAAATCCAAATAAAAGTATCATCTACCGCAGAATCAAGCAATATTAAGAAGTATTTTAACCAAAAAAATGGAAAATCCGAATATGCACTCACGTTGTGGAGAAGCATCAGCATGAGAAGCACTTTTGAATACATCATTATCCTTTTCTTCTGATGAAATAGGATCAGTTCCTTCTTCATCTAAAGCTTCACAGATATATTTCTCCTCTGTCTCACAAGAAACATTGTTAAAGCTTTCATCTGAGATGTCAACTTTTTTATCTTTTATGCATTGACTGTGTGTGCTGTCTGAAAGTCGACGACAAACACCACCCACTGGAACTTTTCCTTCAAAACTCTCTTCAAGATATTTTTTTCCACTAGAAAACAATTCTTTTTTGGCATTTATTGTCTCATCATGTTCATTTTCCACTATTTTCACATTTTCTTCATTCTTTTGCTGACCACACATTCCATATCCTGCATGGCTCACAGCTGTTTCAACTCTATATATTGTGCCTGCAATTGTTAGGAAGAAGATTCAATTAAACTGCTTTAATTTAACATGAAACACTCTTATCAGCATTCAATACTCTGAAAAGTTAATAAATAGAAGGTGAAATGTAAAGGTACCTTGCAGATCTTGGCTGCCTACTTTAGGTCTAAGTGGACTTATCAAAGTTGTATCGTGACTACTCACACTCCATTGAATTTCCGAAATTGTCTTTTCACCAGCTTCAGCAGTAAGAGTATGGATTTTAGCAGTGGCTTCACTCTTTTCATTAAAGTCAACTGAACCTTCAGTTTGTACCATTCCTTTTCCAGAAGAATTATCAGTACTTAATTCTTCTGCTTTCTTCAAAGAAACTTCAAACTCCTTTGTAACACAACTTTCACAGAATTTATTCGAGTAATCCCAGGAAAATACCTCCTGAACTGATTCAGCAGCAATTGTGTTGGCATCTTCTAAGTGCATTGAGTTCTGATCCTCTTGAGGAGAACTTTTGTCATCTTCAACTTCAATCTTATCACTTTCATAGTTAACATTCCCACTCCTTGGTGATTCTGACTCCAACAACTTCTCCACTTTCAACTCATTTGAAGTTTCACCTGCACATTATCAAGCACTAAGTGGTAAATTAAGAAAATGCACATAGTATGGTTCATTATGACATCATAAGTGAACTCACCTGCAAAATTTGCTTGACTGGCTAAAGAGCAAACATCAGCCAGAGAAGTCATCTCAGAGCAAATCACTTTGTTAGCATTGCTTTCAAGTTCAACCATTCTAGGTTCAATCAAAGCATCATCAAGAGCACCTGTTTTATTCAAAGACAGACAAGGTTGATATTTTATTTCACCCTCAATGGTATCATCCTGGATTAGGATCTCCTTGTCATCCTCCACCAAACTGGTTTCCTCATCTTGATTGCAAATCTCACTTCTCGCAATGCAAACAGTAAGTCCAGCACTGCATAATTTATCTTGAAGTGGAAATGAAGAAAAATAGATCAGATAGAGGTTTCACAGAGCTTATAACTAAAGAAGAAAATGAATTTCACACACCTTGGCTTTGGGGTGCTGATCCAAATAGGGCTTCGCAGGTAGCAGTGCCACTAGTTGAACTCCACTTTATTTCTGTAATATTTGGTGTACCAGTTATTGAATTAACAATATCAATCTGAGCTCTAAATTCATGCTTTCCAGGGGCCTTAATGGAACTCTCAGTGAGTGCAATTTCTTCCCCATCAGAAAACTCAGTAGCACTCAGTTTTTCAGATTTCTTCAAAGGAATTTCTGACCCTCTCTTCAAACCAATATTTTCATCAGGTTCATTTGGGAGGGCACTGAAAATTACATCCCCAATTGAATCAGGAGCCGTCAAATTAGCATCCTTTAGTATCTGATCCTCCTCAATTGTAGTTTCACTTCCTTCAGCATCCACATTACAATATATAGAGTTCATGTTTTCAGAAGGCTCTCCTGTCTCCAATACTTTCTCCAGTTCTATGTAACTTGAAGTTTTGCCTGCAAATTATCAAGCATTGAGTGAGCAACTAAGAAATTTAACATTGTACAGTTCATTTATAGCATCAAGAGTACATAAACTCACTCACCTGCGAGGTCTACTTGGCTTGCAGGAGAGAAAACATTAGCTAGAGAAGCTATCTCAGGAGAAACCACTTTGCTATCATAGCTCTCAAAATCAACCATTCTAGGTTCAACCAAGATAGAATCATCAATAGTACCTGTCCCATTCAAGGACAGACAAGAATAATATTTCATTTCACCCTCGGAAGTATCATCATGGATCCTTATCTCTTCATCGTTTTTCACCACTCTGGTATTCTCCTCATATATTAATACAGCTTCATGAATAAAGTGTGCATTTCCTGGATTCAGATTTTCATTCCTTTCTTGATCTGACATCCCTCTACCTGCAGCGTTAGCAGCATCAACCCTGCATATTTTATCTTCGACTGCGACGAAGGAAAAAAAAAAGATTAAAGTAATCCGAGCATAAGTATCGGTTCCCAAAAACTTATAGCTAAGAAAAGGAAAGGAATTTCACACACATTGGTTTCCTGGTGCAGGTTCACATGGAGTTCCTGGGGCAGCAGTGTTTATATATGAGCTCTCCTGGATTTCAATGATATTTTGTGCACCAGTTTCAGCAGTAGCAAAATGAAATTCCGCGCTACTTTCTTCATTTTCAGTAGCCTTAAAAGAACTCTCCATGGGTGGAATTCCTTCTCTCTTTGAAAACTCAGTCGCAATAACTTCAGCTTTCTTCAGGGTATTTTGTGACCCACTCTTCAAACTACTAATTTCACCATATTCATTCAAGGGGTCCTTAAAAATCGCCTCCGTGACGGATTCAGCAGCAGTGAAATTGGTATCTTTTAATTCCGCTAAGATATGGTCCTCTCCAAAAGGAGCTCTGCTATCATCAACATTCACATTATCACTCAAAAAGTTAGTGTCTTCACCCCTTGGTAGCTCTGTCTCCAAATCTTTCTCTGAGTTCAGGAGGGTAGAGGTGGCACCTGTGCATAGTGAACGAGTAAGCAAATCAACATAATACAGTTTCTTAATGAAATCAAAACTGAATACACTCACGACTCACCTGTAAGATCTTTTTGATCTGCTAATGAAAGACCATTAGATGGAGAAGTTATCTCAGATGAGTCCATGTTGACAAGTTTAGTTTCAAATTCTACCCATCTAGATTCTAGCAAATTAGAGTCATCAACAGCACCTCTTCCATTTAACGACGTACTTGATTGAGGAAGATTCATTTCATTGTCAGTACTGTCAACATGGACCAACCTCTGTTTATCAATTTTCAGGATGCTTCTATACTCGTTGTCAACAACCAAAGATTCATGAGCAGAATGTGTGTCGATTGGTGTCGTATCTTCCTTCATTTCTTGATCAGATATTCGACGTCCTGCAGTATTGACAGCGATTTCAGCTCTAGCTTTGTTTTCAACAGCCAAAGGAAATAAGAAATAATCAAACAAATAATCCGTATAATGAGTAAACATCATTTATTGGATTAAATTTTGAAAAGAAAAAAAAAAGCATAACAGAATAAGGAAATTTTGGGAATTTGACCCACCTTGGCTTTCAGCTGGAAAGTTTATCTCAGAGGAACCTAATACGTGACTAACATTACCTTCAAATTCTAGGAGTTTGGGGTCTAAGCAATTAGCATCATCCAGCACACATGTTGTATTAACAGACTGACTTGGCATACTATTCACTTCACTCTCAACATTGCCACCATGGACCAATCTCTCTCTGTCATCTCCCAATAAATTGTTTTCCTTCTCCTCAAGCCCCATTGATTTGTGGGCAAAATGCTGGATTTCTTGGTCTGTAGAAAGGCCAACCAAATTCTCAGATGTTGTAATCAGAGTTTCCTCCATATTTCCAGCAGAATCCTTGGATTCCTCCGTGTCAAGAAAAAGAGGAGAGGCCTCCACAAATCCACACTGCTTCTTTGCCCCAGAATTCCCCCTCAATCCCTTTCCCTTTTTGTTAGAACATCCGTCAGCATTTTTGACAGCCTGTTTGCCGAAGTTCAAATCAAGATCATTTTTGTTCCCTGAGCCTTCTGCTACAAGTAACTCATCCTTTCCAGCTGGAAGACTCTTAGTAAGTGAAGCTTCCTCTTCTATAATCTCCATTCTAGATTTGCTTGGCTGCCTCTTCTCGACAACTTTGGCAGTTGGATTGCAAGGTGCAAAAGAGGCACGTATAGAAGAAATACGATTGGATCTTCTTTGCGGTTTCTCTGTTATGGCATGAAGCTCAACAACAGAAGTTTTTTCTTCTTCTAGACTAGGCTCTTGCATTTGTTGCTTCACTCCCTGGTCTTTTTTGGCAACAGCATTTTGATCTTCTTTACACGTTCCTGATAAACTACAACCAGAAGAATTTTGACTGGACTTTCTTGGTAATTCTTCAGTCACCTCTTTGCCTAGATATGGTACTCTTAACTGCTGCATTTTTTCAATATCTTCCTTATTTGCCAACTTTGCATCAGCTACAGCTGGGGCATTAAGAATTACTGTCTTGCGTCTGCTCCTTCTGAAAGGGGCTTGGTCTTGTAAAGTGAAGGCATACTTGGCCCTCTCTATCTCACCACCATTTTCCACAACTGCATCCAATTCAATAGTCCTACTTCGTTTCTTGGTCTCCTTTTTCAAGAATTCTTCGTTATTCTCCCCCTTACCACTCTGAGACAGAACAGATTTTCGCCTGGAAGAATATCTCCTTAAACATTCTGGAGGTTCCTCAAGTGCAATATGTCTTTCAGATTGCTCCTGAACCTTTGTTACCTGAGTTTCACTTCTCACAGATGTAGTACTTTTGGCACAATCTTTCTCCGCATTACGTTTTGATCGCCTCAAAGGCTTCTCTGTTGCTGCACCTCCTACACCAATTAAACTGCTTTCAGCACTCACCCTTTGATGCACAGCATTCTCTCTCAAAGCATTTTTCCCTGTGTCTTTCTGAGGTTCTTTAAGTTGAATAACGTCTTCACATCCTCGCTGTACCCCAACAGTTTTAACTTCACTTTTCACCATAGAAGCTATATCTTTCGGTTTTGCCCTTGACTGCCGCGTCACCCTAGAAACAACTTCAACCTTTTCCACTTCACTGCTCAATTTCACAGATCGATCATCCTTTCTAGCATTCCTCGTTGGTTGCCTTCGGCCATTTTTGGAATTTGCATCCTCACGAACAACATCACTCTCTTCAGAAATTTCATCAAACGAATGAACCTCATCACCTCCTTTCCCCTTCCTTTTCTTTGATTCTTCCTGAGTCACATTCTTCATACTTCTTAACTGCCTCCCACAGAACCCATCAGTCACTTCATGATGACCATTCTTGACATCTTCCCTCTCACCCATTTCCAACGCCTCAGATTTGCCAATATTATTCACCTCAGCATCTCTATTCTTCATGCCTCCTTTGCTTCTCTTCCTCCCAACAGGAGGTGAAAAAACCATGTTTATATTATCTTCAACTGCATTTCGCACTCTAGACCTCGTGATTCTAACTTGGCAGTCCTCAACTTTCCTAATATCTTCACTATTTGGAGCATTTTCGATATCCTGGACAGGATTCTTGGACAACAACAGCTTCCTAGACCTTTTTCTAGGCTGCAGACAGACAGAGACCTCGTACTCAATGGTTTGATTTTCAGGATTAAAACTGACTTTCTTTGCCTGCTTTTTAACAACCTTAGCTTCATTGTCACTACCTATTTCTTTCGGATTAGTACTCAACTTTTCTAATGAAATGGGTTCTTCATCTTCCTGTTTAAAATAGATTAAGAAATAAAAAAACAGAGTTATAAATATAGTACTTGAATTGAATCAATGTAACACAGAGCAGTTACAGATTTTAAGGTTTGAACTCAAAATTTACTTAGATGTCCGTCATTGTATGAAACATGAATTAAGCTATGAGATTTTAAATTTAAATTTGCTAGATGTTTATAATTATATAAATCAACTGAATTAAGTTTTGCATTTCAAAAGTACATATTTTACTGTTGGCTTTAATATTTACTAACTTTTATATCTCCACAAATAAAATCAATTAACGGAGAAAAAAACATATTTGGTAAAAAATAATGAAATATAATATCAAGTTAAACAAATTTTATTTGTCCATAAAATTGAAAACTTCAATATTAATTTTATTTGTTCACTTTTCTATTCGAATAAGCTTTTATTTTTTATATTGCTTCATAGAAGGAAAATTGTAAAAATAACAACTAAAAGAGAATTTAAATTTCTAATTTCTAATTCTTAAGACTCAATAAAGCAAAGACTACAAATTACATGACCAAATTATTTAATGCTTGCAGTTACTTTCTTTCTCTATTAATAAAACCCGTTTAAATTTGCTCTCAGATCTACATGAAAGAAAGAAAAAAAAATTACATACTTGATAATTTTAAGCATAACAAGAAAATGATACCGAAAAATACATGAAACTATATACTTTAAGATTTTAACAAAAATTATACATAAATTTGGTAAAAACCAAAATATATGTTTCTATTTGACGTGGCTTGTGAATTTGAGTGTTCATTTGATAACATAACACGGACAGATTTACAAAATTCTTTTTACTTAATCTAAAAAATTTTTAAAATACAAAAATAAATTAACCAAAAATAACAGAAAGCCTTTCACATGATGGAAATTTGGACTTAGTTCATGGATTCGACTCTCAATCGGCAGCCAAAATGCTCAGTAGCAGAAATTTATTAAAAAAAAACTTTAAAAAAACAAAGACGCGTAAATTAAAAAGAAGATACCTTGTAAATGGAAGCCAACTGATCCACCATTTCACGGTTGGTTAAATTTGCAGGGACGCCGTGCTTTTTACACAACGTCTGCAGGTCTTTTCGCTTCATGCCATGAAAATCCATCTCTTAGGAAAAAAAAAAAAAAAGGCAATGGAATAGAAATTCAAATAAAAAAATGAAGATCCATTTTTGTTTCTTGAAACCTGCTGAAGAAAGAATAACAGCGAGAGAGATTTTCAGCATAGCTATTTGAATTCAAAACGGCCAGTTTGGCGCTCTTTTAAAAATTTGGAGGTGGGGGACCTTAAGATACTTTATCCACTCGCTGTGTTTTTTCGAGTTTTCCTGTACTCGCTACTTCTGCCCGACAGATCGTGTATATGTAGGGATATAATTGTAAAATCAATTTAATAGTGGTGACTGATCGGTGATCAAGTAAATGCTGGGTTTTACAGTGATTGAGCGAGTGGGCTTTGAACTTTGAAGAATTACCTACATGGATAAGACCTTGTTAAGTGCTGTCACGTGCAAGCTTCTTTTTATGGACTTGAACTTGCCTTGAGCTTTTTAAAAGCGATTGAAAACGTGATTCATCGTTGGTCTTTCTTATACGAGGTTCTTTTTCTTTGTTTTTAATTCTTTAATTAAATAGATTTAATAATTCATTTATTTATATTATATAAATATAAAAAATTTACGTATTTATATTATATTTTATATAAAATTTAAATATTATAATTTGTATTAATTTAAAAAACATGAAATATACTTTTTTTACGTTAAATCTATATATTTTTTGTTAAAAATTCTACCTTGTCATTTTTTTTTAATTATCCTAAAATATGTCACTATATTATATTATGAATTGTTTGATCTAATTCCGAATAAATTTTTTTTTATTTGTCATATCTATTCAACATTTATATTTTACAAAATTTATAAAATTAAAAAATGATGAAAAAGAAAAAACAAATAAGGATGCAATGTGTATATCCTAGTCGATCTACTTTTTTTTTTATAAAATTAATCTAAAAAAACAAAAAAAAGTAAAAAGTGACAAAAAAGACTAAATGAATAAATTAAAAAAGAGTTAAAAAAAAAACAGCAAATAGAAGATATTATATTGGCATTAAATATTGAATTTAAAATAAAAAATCTTAAATTAAGGTTAAAAAATTACTTTATAAGAATAAAATATTTGTTTATATACATTAGGTTAGAACAAAAGCACTATAAACATACTTATGACTCAATCTCACCCTTTTTCAAAAAAAAAAAGTCGATTATCTCAATCAAATATCGATTTTAAAAAATCATTTCTGCAAACATCTCATTTAGTTTGAGATTTAAATCGATCAAGACTGATTTAGTTTCAAGCCCAAGTGTTCATTTTTTTCCTTTATCATCAAGATCAATTTAGTTTCAGGCTCGAATCTCACCCTTATTGGCTTTTTTACGTAAAATATTTTTAAAAAATGAAATTTAAAATGTAAAATGATAAAATAAAACAAAAATAATTCTTGAGAAAAATAATCTTTAGTACTCTAATTAAATGTTAGAGAGTCATCAATGATTACTTTCTACAAAGAATTTTTTTTTTTTCAAGAAATGTCATGGTAAATCTTAGTTGAAAAAAGTTATCTTTAAAATTCTGTCTAAATGTTGAAGAATTTGAAGATAATTTTTTAACTTAAAGAGTTTCATAATATTTCCAAACAAATATTTTTAATAAAATTGATTTTTTGCTTCAAAAAGTGAAAAGAATAAACTATTTTATCCAATATCGAAAATAACACATGATTAATGAGTACCAATTTTCCTGTGACGCTATGGGTGCTGATCTTTCTCCATGCGTAACCGACTTTTAAACCTACTTTTATTTTCATAGACCAAAAATTATTTTTTTGAAAAACTTCAAATTTGTTTTTATCGTTTTATTAAAAAGATAAATTTTTTTTGTGGCGAATCACATATAACCAAAAAGATTTGTAGCTACTATCCTATTTTTCTTGATTTTAAAATTTTAAACGCATAGCAATCTCAAAAATGTTATGACATAATAATAATTAAATATAATTAATGAGAAATAAGTATTTTAATTGTTCAAATAAATATATTTCTCTCTAATAAAACAAATATAAATTCAAGAAAATACACAAATAATGATAACCACTAAATTTCTATAACTTATCCACATAATATTAGTTATAGAATCTCTTTATTGTTTTCCTTGAGCAGTATCTTCATTCTCATTTCTAAGAGTATGATATTCTTATTCAGTGGACCTAGCATTTAGATTACAATCAACCTTATCAATAAAAACATTATCGGGATCTACTGTCATTAAATAATTATGTAAAATACAACAAGTTAAAATTAGGCTAAATACTCAAATCACAATAAACGTTTGAGTGATTGCTCAATTCAGGACCAAATATTTTAATTCGTACAAATAATGATCAAATGGTATCAACTTGTAATAATGTAGGATTTATTTCAACGATAAAAGGGATGTGCATGTTACACGTCATTAAATTTTCCACATGTAAAAGCTATCACAGATAAACAGGACATGGAATGTGATGTTGAATTAACATATCCACATGTAATGACAACCTAGCTAAGATTTTGGCTGTTTTTTAAACTTATTCTTTTTTTTTGTTCTTCTTTATTATTTCTGTCTATAATAACGTGATATAGCTTCAACTTAGGATTTTCTTCTTGTTTCTTCTCATTTTTTACCGTAAAGTGAGAAATTTTTTTGTTAAAATAACATCTAAACACAATGTCTTCTTCAAATATCAGTTCATCTAGTAGTGTAAATTCAATGATGGTATAAATTTTAGGTTTTTCTCATACTCTAATTTTTTTTTAATTTGTTTTTCAAAATATTAAAATTGTAGGGTTTATAGAGAAGAGTCTTATAATATAAACACGTATAAGTTAATTTCAACTAGTTACCATATAGAATGAGATTTTGAAAGAGACCCATTTTCTATTATTGCAATATGAAGGTAGCTAGGTAGACTTTATGGATAAATAGCAATCCAGGTAGAAGATTTTATGGATGCCCACATTATCCGATAAATTTACTGGTATTTTTTTATGGTTTTACTGATTTTTTTTTGTTTTTTGCTGGTATTTATTTTTTGATATTTTCTTTGTATGATTATAGGCAGATAAATTTACTAATTTTTTTTATGTTTTTGCCTGAATTTAATTGTTGATATTTCTTTGGTGAGATTATATGGCATTATTTATGGATTTTCATTTATGACATGATCTTAAAATTTTTGAAAAAGCAAAAGAGATTATTTTGGAACTGAAAAAAAGAGAAATTTTTATATAGTCATGTTCAAAGTTTGAAATATGAAGTTTCAAAATGGAAAAAAATGTTGGTGAAAATGATGTTATCATAGAGAGTATGTAATTGAGGAGAAAAGTTAGTTTTTTGAGGTGAAATTAAAAAGAAAGCAATAAAATTGCTAGTGATGGACATAGTAGAGATAGCAACTGAAAAAGAATTTGGCTTATTTCATTTTTTTTAAACTTGTTTTTTGTGTAATCTTTTTCAATGCTAAAAAAATTCTAGAAACTTAACTTATATGCTTGATAATGGGTTAGGATTGTTATGAGAGTTTGTAAATGTTTGTTAAAACTCTTATTATATAAATGGCAATTGAATAAATGTTATTAGCAGTTAATTCTATTGCTTTATGTTATAGCTGTGAAAATGTGATTTAGTACAATATATTCAACTTGCAATATACAACTAGAAAGTAATCTGAGGTAATTTGATAATAGATGCAATATTATAACAAAGCAATCTGATGATATCAACAGAAAGTGTTCTTACATAATATTTAGTACAGAGAAAAATTCAACTAACAAAAGGCTGAATTCAAAGTGTTCTTACAACATTAACAAGAAAAAAATAGTTAGCATCAGTAGCTAGCAACAACAGTCAATAAAACAGAATATCAACTTCTCAAATTTTTTGTTTCTCCTTATGTCTTTTAGAAGTAAGAACTTGACTTTCTTAAGTACCAATTATATCATCAACAACCTTCTTCTTGCCTCTGTTTGTCCCACCTACTATTGCTTTCTTACTTCTCAATCCAGGCTATTGAATAACATTTATCAAGTTATAATAGGTAATATTTAAAGAAATAAAATAAAAAATATGTGTCTAGTAAAGAATCACTCACATTTAAGATTGTCTCCCATTTCTAAGTTTGTATATAATCCACAATCGTGTAAGACTTTTTTTGCTTCTGGTGGTAGCTCTAACAGTATACTTATCATTGTGACTTCAAATGTTGTTTGCTAAAATTGCTCTTTTTTCGTTGGTTGTTATAGAAGAGTTAGACTTTGATAAGAGACTTATTTTTCTAACAATCAATGCATAAAAGTCTCCCATCTTCATTTACAAAACATCTTCGAGTAGATCTTGTTGGCCTTTTAAACTCTAGTTTTGCATTTTCAATAGCAATAGAAGCAATAGCATTGATTGAATTTAAAACTTTTGTTAAAATTGGAATGAAAAGTTGATCCAAAGCCGAAGTTGAAACTAGAATGGAAACTGGATTTGAAATTGGATTTGTTAAAGCTAGATTTGAAACTGGATTTAGAGTTTATGCATATGCAATTGCAATTGTAATTATAGATGCAAAACCATTGATATTAGCTTAAGTAAATGTAGATGTGTAACTAAATCTGGATGTAGAAGCAGAAGCTGATACGAACACCATAAGCAATAGCTGAAATAATAGCATGGTTGCTTGGACCATGTGCAGCTTTAATATAATCTATAATACTTGATACACCTTGGTTCATGTTTTAATCTCCAGATTTGAGTACATGATAATCTTATTGTCATAGACAAAATAATAAAGTTGAATTAATGGGTTAGGGCATTTAACAAGAAATGATCCATAATAGTATAATGTTTGTAATAATAAATAAAAATAAAATAGAATGAAATTACCTTATTACCTACCATAGGACAACCTTTTTTGTTGTGGCCTGGTTGATGATATAGTTTACATTTCATTATCATGCCCTTCTTAGACAAATTTATTGAATTGTTGGATTTTTTTCTGAGCTCATCATGATCCTTTCTT